TGCAAGTGACCCAAAGAACAAGCGCTGATAACGTAATTAACTCGAGTCGAGTCCGGACTCCCGAAACTGGGAACACTTCGATTCCGAAACGAATTAACTCCCGGTGATTGATTAAAAACCCTCTCTCCGCGGCCCAAGACACAACCCGCCCCGTCCCCTTACACCCCCTAACACCACCCTATAATACCCCCCGTCTGACCCTAAACATACGTGTACCCTGTAAAAATACCCTTGCCAAGTCTGAGACTCGAGTCCATGGGTCTGTTCTGCCTTGCGGAGGAATGAAATATGATACATGCTCTGCAGCCCGTGACAAGGTATACAATCAAAAAAACAATTTGAAAAGCGGGTAACAAGGCTGAAATTTCACATACACAAATCAAAGCGTTTCGGCTGAAAATTTAGCCATCCTCAGTTGGATAAATCAAAATAAAAATGGTTAAAAATTTAAAATAGTACCTGATAAATACCTTTCAATCAGGAATGTTGTTATTATTGTTGTTATTATGTTGTTATCTGGTACTATTTTAGATTTTTAACCATTTTTATTTTGATCGATCCAACTGAGGATGGCTGAATTTTCAGCCGAAACGTTTTGGTTTTGGTGTTGTGAAATTTTAGCCTTGTTACCCGCTTTTTAAATTGTTTTTTTTTTTTCTTGCTAAGGAAGAACGCCGTATGAGCATTCGAACGTTGTCGAGTTTCCTTTGATAAAAACCAAATTAACAGGAAAAATTGTGAATATTTTTTTTTTTTCAAAATTATCAGACAATTTTGAAATATCTGAAAATTCCAAGGAAAAATACGGTTTCGGGATTTTTTGTCCAATTTTTTAATCTGATCATCGGACATAAAATACAATTTGATCGTGGGACACATTATAAAATCTGATCATTGGACACATAATAAAATCTGATCATTGGAAATATAAGTATGGGTCAAAGTAATAAAGAGGACGAAGGTAGGACACATTTTCTTTTGGACCAAACTAACTACTGGACAAAAATGTAAAATGGACCAAAAAAATTGGACACAAAAACGTTGGGCAAAGATTCTTTTAACCAAAAATACGCATGAATGGCGTCAAAAATACATGTTTTATCCAGGGAAATTTGGCAACTCTCGAATGTTCATACGGCCTTTTCCCTTAACACGGCAGCACGGTCTGTTGCATGCAAGAGATACTGCCGTATGATAACACATTCTGAGTGTAAATTTCCTTTAAAAAATCTGCGGTGGTAAGGGGTCAATTTTATGCCGCGAAAATTTTTCTACCGTATAGGTACAGGGAAAATTTGGCGATTATTTTACCATGATACGCGTTTCCCTTCTCAAAGTCGAAAATTTCAACGGCGCCGGCCGCCTCGCTGCCGCTGACGTCACTGGCGCTTTTATAATCCCCGCGTTAACGAGCACACCCCTTCTTTTCCAACTGTCTCTGGTCCTGTTTGGCAGAAATGCGTCCAATTCTTGTCCAGAAATTTACTATCGGAATTTTTATCCATCCAAAAGAAGATTTTTCTCCATGTTAGTCTCTTCATGTATCCCGTCTCTGAAATGAAAGTACCATCTTAATAAAAAGATTACAACTCCTAAATATATCACAGCAATACAAATTCCCGAGAACGCCTATGGAGACATCCTGTCAATAATTTCTACATCGAATCTCTTCTCGAGACAACCAAAATACCCTTTGTCTTGGTGAAAGGCTGATCGTCGTGACAAGAATTGCATCATAGGCAACAGGAATTTTGGCTATCTTTTAGCCGCGGGCTGATTGTTGAAATTGATAGACGAAGCTATAGACAAAGAAGATGAAATGAATATGGAGCGATTAGATTGGTAAATTTGGGTGGTTTTTATAGACTAAGGGACAACATGATGGACTAATTAAAGTTTCTCTCGTGAGTGGTCATCAGTTAGTCTGTTACCTACCTCATTTATCCATTGCAAACACCCGCTTCCACCTAAAGAATCCCTCCATATCCTTTTTGTCGTCTTTGTCTATAGCTTTGTCTATCAATTTCAACAATCAAACCACAGAAAAATTAATCTTCATTTACGGCTCAACGCTCTATTCTGCCGTGCTAATGAAGAACGCTGTATGAATATTCGAGAGTTGCCAAATTCCCTTCACTTAAATGTTTATTTTTGAGGAAATTTATCAATACATTTTCTTGAAAGTTTCAGGAACTTCAGGTGGAATTGCGAACAATATTATCTGAAAAATTGGAAGAACAATTTTCATAAGTTTACTGGGGAAGTCGTGTTTTACTAAAGGAAATTTGGCAACGTCTGAAGGTTCATACGGCGTTTTTCCTTGGCACGGTAGTATTGCTTTCGCTCGTTTAAGTTCGAACGATGTCATAAATGGTTCGTTTTACGGATGATCTGGCGCCTACTCTATAAGGCTCCCCAAAATCCGAGGAACAAGGATTTATTGCCCCTTCTTTTACGGTCACGGAAATTGTTTTACCGCCCAAGCTTATACAACTTCAGGCTCGGAAGAGGCTTAGCAGTTGGATCAAAGACACGCACATAGATAACTGAAATTTTTGACACTTTTTAAGCTTCCACCACGCCACGAGTGAATGCCTTTCCAGCGATTTTTAGTTGAACGTAACGTTACGAAGTTCTATAATGTTATAATGTTGTGTAATGTTATATTTTCCTTCACTACATATTTTTTTTCATCAATTAAAATGAGAATATCCATACAGAGTGTGCAAACATTTCAAAGCCATGAGTTGAAAGACGCTGCCTCCACGAGATTAATCATTAGAGCCTAACACAAAGCGGAGCGGCGGCGCACAGGCGCCTACAAACCTAACAGGGATACTTCACGCATTGCGCAATGCGTGAAGTATCCCTGTTAGGTTTGTAGGCGCCAATGCCCGTTTCGCGCTGGCTGCCCGCCCGCCGCGCCGCGCCGCAGCGTACCACGGCGCTTGAGGCAACTATTTCACACCAGAGGTATTACACAGTATCATGCCTCCTTGCGTTGCTTTATGGGGATATCCACAATTTTTGTGACGGGAAGATATTTTATTTTTTTATTACTTGTTTGTTAATATGGCTTTTTTTCTTTGGTAAGTAGCACCTTATTCAATGATGAAACGATTTTTTTTTTTACATCATGTATTCTTCCTTCGAGAAATTGTCCAGCTTAATAACGTTTCTATGCCAAATTCCAGTCCTCGTTCAACAAGTTTTGCTCTAATTTTTTTGTTTACAAAGCTCCCTTTCACTGTATAACATGAACCCTGTAATTCACTCTATGATACTATTGAAAGAATGAGTAATGTAGGTTGCTGCTAGGTATAATTTCACCGTTCTTGCTCAAGTGTCACATGAATAATCTCTGAATGTGTAATGTGATTTTTATGCTATTTAATCTAACCTAACATACCACAAATTCAACAATGGGCCTGTTGCATGCAAGAGATACAGCCGTGCGAATAGACTTTTCAGAGGTTAAATGACACGAAAATTACGATGGTCACATTAAACAAGTCTGAAATACACTCCTTACTGCGCAATTTGCGTTGTTAGGAACGCGCTTTTTCAAATTTCCCGCGTCTGGGGGCAATTTTTCTAACGGAAACAATTAACGGCACCTCGCGGCTATTTCCGGTCAACTAAAACTGACAACATAGCCTAAAAATCGGAGCTCGTGATATCGTGAAATGAAATGTAGAAGGATTGCGTTGGATATTTAAAAGTTGATCGATTTGGTTACCGCATAAAGCTTTATGGACCACTATAAGTGATCACGTTGAGTTTGTAAACAAACTGATAAAAAAATAACAACAACAACAACAACGACTCGGTAGCTTCCAGAAATCACCGAGTGCTGATTGCTCGTTTCCGGTGATTAAAAAACTGCCCCCAGACGCGGGAAATTTGAAAAAGCGCGTTCCTAACAACGCAAATTCCGCCATAAGGAGTATATTTCAGACTTTTTTAATGTGACCATCGTAATTTTAGTGTCATTTAACCTCTAAAAAGTCTATCCGCGCGGCTGTATTTCTTGTATGCAATAGGCCCATTCCGTGCGGTGACCGCTCTCCAACGACCATACATTAGAACCAACTTCTTGTTTCCCTTATCATATCAAACCCGATTGTTCTTCAAGAATATTACGCATTTTTTCTTAAGAAGAGCCCTAAAAACCAGAAATAATTTGTATCAATTACTTAGTCAATTGACTTTTGAATCGTTCCTGAAAGTGTTGAAAAACCAACCATGAGTTTAAAGAAAAAAATAAAAAAAAAAAAAACACGAAAACAACAAATGCTCTAGCTGAAGTTTTCAACACACCAATTCATTTTCGTCGTAAGAATACAAATCTGAAATTTGTGTGCAAATGTTTTCGTACAGTCAAAAGTGAAATTACTGACTTTTTCGTGAAAAAGTCCGTGACAGATTCCTGGTAAATCCACAAATTGCGAGTCGAAATTTTGCGAAGTTGAAACGTAGCTCTTTTGTCTAGAAACCGACGAACGAACCGATACAATTGAAAATCGCATGATGCATTCATAGAAATGGATGGAAGTTTAAATCTCTGCGACAAATCGACGGTCTTAGTTGGCAATCACACAATACTGGGTTTGCAACGTCGCGTCGTCGCAGATTTCCTGTTATACTTTATTTTTTAAACGGAAAACTACTCAACGGCAATTCTTCAAAACTGCCGTGATTTTTCTTCTTTGCGCGAAGAAAATTCTGCAAAAACTTCAAGGAATGATGTCGATTTGTTCCTCTTTAAAAAAGTAACATATAGGCAGAGATTTTCAGACACCGCAAACGAGTTATGTGATTGCCGACTTACACCGTCGAAATATCCAATAAGAGAAGCGAACACATTTTTTTCAATCAAATGCAATTTTTTAATTTTATGTAATACATTTTTTTTTTTGACAGTTTTTTCAGTGAACAAACGAAAGCATTTCAAACTCGATAGAGGGAATCCATCTCGTAATAAACACCTGCAGAGTTACTCTGTTTTTCTTAGCCGACGTGAAATTGCCCGCCAGCTGCGGCAGCGAACCCTTGCGGCATCGCATGCGGCGCGTTCGGCACATTCGCAGCATGCAAGGGTGCGGTGCAATATGTCAGGAGAACGACCCTCTGGGAGTGGCCGAGAAGACACCAAGGATTAAGGGGGGATCTCTGGATCTTGACAGTACAGCGGAAGAACCGTCCATATAAGCGGCATTTCGGATCGGTAGGAAACTTGCAGTTGACGCGTTCGTTCTCATCGCGCCTGGCGTACCAGGTTGCTGCTCGCCCACAGTTTTGGTTAGCAGCATGATCGTCGGCCGGTTGGTCGCGTAAGGCCCAGCACGGGTCCTCGTTGATGACGTTCAACATGGCCGCCCAGTAGTAGTTAACTCCAGCCACCGGTGCCTGAAATTGTATTATAAGTATTAAAACACATAATTCCGAATATTTGGACGTTAACTTTGAGAGAACCACCGGATCAATTATTTTCCTGATTTTTTTTTTTTTTAATGAAAGCCCCTGAGCTGTAGATTTGCAGGCTGTAATTGTTTTTTCGATTTTCTCAAATTATCTTACTTTTATCAACGAGTAAAGCTTAGCTGTTTCGAGCGGTCGTCCGGTCTCTGCCTGCTTGCCCGTCGCTACGTACCGCCCCTTTACGCTCTCAGCCATCCCTCCCGCCACGTTCCTTCGGCTATTACCATTATTAAATAGATTCAACTAATTGCTCCGATTCCAAATAAGCTACTGCACCACAATTGCTAGCTGTGGAGGACGCCCGGAGCAGCGAGTTGTATTATATTTTCAAGATTAAATATTTATATGTAGTCCAGGCACATTAGATAAAAAATAGGAAATCAGAAAAAAAAATTATGCAAAAGGTTTTTTTTTTGTATGTTGTTTTTGGCTTTAAATCCGGGGGATACTGCGGCCTTTATATATAAGGTTGTATGTGCTGTACGCTTGACGTAGTTATGCATATTTTTCCTAGACATTTTCAGATATTTTAGAATAAACTGCGAACAATGTTGCCTGAAAAATTGGAAGAAAAATGTTCGTAACTTTTCCGGTAAATTCGTATTTTATCAAAGGCAACTTGGCAACGCCCAAAGGCTCTTACGGCGTTCTTCCTTAGCACAGTAGTATATGAGAAGGAGTATAGCGGATTGAGTAAGCGCAGTTTTTTTCTCACATCTCATTTGCAAAAAGCAGCGTATTAAAAGAGCTTACTACATAATTACCGGGTTAGCTGAGGTAACTCTGAAGCCTCTACTTCGGCGCGGTCGCGATGATCCCATAGCCTCCAAAAAATCAAGAGGCAGTAAAATGTAGACGAACATGAGATAGAGGATATCCATTTTGAACCGTTTAGCACAGAGGCCGACGACCGTCTCAAGGGCTAAGGTGCCAAAAGACTGGGGGCAATCGAGATCGCATGAGTGACAGAAAGCCGTTTCAGCAAACCTGCAAGACAATCCTAAAAGCTTTTAACAGTCGTCATCCTCATGAATTTTCCGCGAACAGATCGTGTCACACGCATCTCAACGGTGTTTTTACATGTCTGCCCATCTTTTGTTTTTCCAAGAGTACCCTGGTAAAAATTGGCAGTAGAATCTGTGTTCCAAAATACCATAGACCTAAAGCCGGCTGTAAGATTTTCAATAGCTTCTGTGGCCGGCTGTACAATTCCTTAAAGCCTTTTATAGCCGATGGCGATTAAGCAATAGCCAGACGATGAAGTTTATGCTAAAGGTTACAAAATACGGATACTAGGACTTAGTTAGTTTTTGGAATACCGCTCTCTTTTTGAGCCGTACCTAGTATCTTGATTTATTTTGCGAGGAAAGCTCCGTACTTTTGAAGGATGCCTGTCATTCTTAATAAGTTGGAGCGCCTTCAATTTCTCATTATACTGTGCAATACCTCTGGTGTGAAATAGTTGCTTCAGACGCCGTGGCACGCTGCGGTGCGGCGGGCGGGCAGAGAGTGCGAAACGCGCATTGGCGCCTACAAACCTAACAGGGATACTTCACGCATTGCGCAATGCGTGAAGTATCCCTGTTAGGTTTGTAGGCGCCAGTGCGTCGCCGCTCCGCTTTGTGCTCCAATATTTAATCTCGCGGAGTCAGCGTTTTTCAACTCATGATTTTGAAATGTTTGCTCACTCTGTATGGATTATTCTCATTTTAATTGATGAAAAAAAATTTGTTTTAAAGGAAAATATAATGTGTGTTTTAAGGTTTTATATTAAGGTAGTTCCGTATCATCTTAATGATTTCCAATGCACACGAATTTCTACACAATTTCTCATAGCCTTTTATAGTCAATGGCGATAAAGTGTATAGCCCGGCGATAGGAACTATAGCCCGACTGTATACTTTTTTATAGCTTCGTATAGTCCGGCTATATAATTTGCTCCCATATTCCTACAGCCAGCTATATGATTTTCAATAGCCTTCTTTAGTTGGCTATAAGAACTCCTATGGTATTTTGAAACGCAGCTCCTATCGCCAATTTTTACCAGGGTATACTAGCGGATAATTTAGCAGAAATTTCCCCCTTTTTTTTTAAACTGATTTTCAAATAGCTTTTAGGGCAAAATCAATTTCTTTCGTCCTATAATATCCGAGATTTTGTGGTTTTGAGAGATCGTGAAACAATGCGGAGCTCTAGTTTTTTATTTTCATAGTCTTTTCATTCCACTAATAGATTACTTTAGAGCAGTGCTTCAGTTTGCAGAGATTCATCTGGTAGGCCACGAATTTCTGAGTACTCATATTGCAGTGAGACCAAAAAATGCAAAAATACAAGGTCAATAACCTCGCATGTTTAATGCGGGACGAGCGCATTCCGCTCATTTAAAAATTGGAAGTATTTCTGCCAAACGGAACTATGTGCATTGAGACATGAGCCCTGGAACCCCTAAGAATACATGCATAACAGAGGCTTACCTTAGGCTCACAAAGCGGGCAGTCACAAGTCATCTATCTAAAAAATTGAGGTTGATTTTACTTGTTGTCTGGACCAAAAAAAAACTACAACAATACCAATTGGAACTTTACATATGTGAAATTCTTTTCTCCTGTTGTGACATCACACAGAGCAACATGTCCTTCATTTATACATATCCATGCTGGAAGGAACTTTTTGCAATTTATTTGAAACAAAGTTTACAAATCCCATGCACATAGTTTCTTTTGCTTGCATTTATTTGTGCATCGTCCCTGATTTTGGTAAAAATACTCCCATTCATGATAAGATTTTCCAATATAGGACAATCTTAAAGAGGGTTCTTCTACATTGTCACAAGTAAAATGTTCCTCTCGAACAGATAAAAAGTACTCTTTTTCCGCACCCGGTATTGGTTAAATCCGGTTTGTACCGATACTGCTCGTACTTCACAAATTGTGAGTCTTATCAACAACTCTATGACCTTATTTAGGACGCAGCGAATAGCGCCTTCAATCTGAATCGAAGCATCCCCACACATCCAGAGAGTTAAAATAGTTGCATTCAGATGTTTCGGTGATACTTCTATCTTGAGAGGGTGTTTAAGTGCTGAACTAAGTTTTTTTGTCCTCAATAGAAGTCTTTGTCCACACGACCGCAATTTGGGTGAATTAGTTCCACGAACGGGGGGGGGGGGGGGGTGTCCGAGAAACAAGTTAAAGGAAAGTTATATTACAACAAGTTCCTGGAACTAGTTCGCTGAGCTCGTCCCAAGTTCCTCGAACCACGTCTGTGGGAATAAGGCCTTAATTAGCATTATAAATTTATTTCTCTCACATCAAACGCGCTTATAAAACGCGTAAATATCCCCCCTCCCTTTTTTAATCGAGGAAAAGACACTCCAGATTTAGGAAAAGAAGAAAAAAAGAGGGATAAAAAGCACAAAACTTCTGGTTCTTGGAAAACTAAACAGAATGGACCACTAGACAAGGTACGAATTTCAGCTTTCTGATGCATGTTTTTTCACCAAAATTTCACATAGAACACGATGCGCACAACAAATATTACCAAAATCAACTCCTTACGAAGATATTTAATGATTCTTGATGCGTGAATTCAAACCACCCGCTCATTAAAACTCAATGCTATACGTGATTCACATCGCGCGGTAAACGTTATCATGATAGTCTCTGCTATATAAAATCTGGCAACCTCAATCTTGACGCTTTGGCTCAGTTATTGCAAATTGCTTATAGTTTGAACAACACATGGTGGGAAATGAACGTTTGCTCGATTGAGAGGCTCGATGAAACCGTTGTGGTGCGCGATTTGACTCGCGTAGAACTTTGAGTTTTTTTGTGAGCGGGCCTTTCAAATTCCTCGTAACCAATGTGAAATAAAAATGTTAATATCTTCCTTAGGAGTTGATTTCAGTAATTTTTGTTGGGCAAATCGTATTCCACGTGAAATTTTGGATAGGAAATATGTATTAGAATGCTTAAAATCGTACCTTGTCTAGTGGTCCATTTAATATTGTTATTGTTGATTTTCTTTGTCGCGTTTCCTCGAACTTGCATTATTTTCCTTGAATTTTCTTCATATTTTTACAAAATTTCTCATCCTTTTTCCTCTAAATCTTTCATTCATTCAAAGAACAATGAGACGATATCACCTCAGAATTACTCGGGCGGAACACCGATGTATCTAATGTTGTTTTGACACAATGGACCACTAGACAAGGTACGAATTTCAGCATTCTGATACATGTTTCGTAACCAAAATTTTACGTAGAACACGATGCGCACAACAAAAACTACCGAAATCAACTCCTTACGAAGAAATTAAATGATTCTCGATGCGTGAATTCAAACCACCCGCTCATGAAAACTCAAAGCTCTACGCGTGATCCGCATCGCGCGCTAAACCTTTATCATGACAGTCTCTGCGATATAAAAATCTGGCAACCTCAATCTTGACGCTTTGGCTCAGCTATAGCAAAGTGCTTATAGTTTGAAAAATACATGGCGGGAAATGAACATTGCTTGGTTGAGAAGCTTGCTGAAACCGTTGTAGTGCGCGATTTGACTCACGTAGAGCTTTGAGTTTCTTGTGAGCGGGCAGTTCAAATTCCTTGTAACCAATGTGAAATAAAAACGTTAATATCTTTGTTAGGAGTTTTCAGTAAAGTTCGTTGTGTGAATCCTGTTCTACGTAAAATTGTGGTTAAGAAATATGTATCAGATTACTTAAATTCGTACCTTGTCTAGTAATCCATTGCATTATTACCCAGTTTTTGATAATAATTAATGTGGCTCGGTTCCTATCTGATAAACGTGGTTCGAATGGAGATGTTGCATGTGTGAGGAATCTGCGATTTGACCAAAGTTCACGAGAAAGAAGCCTCCGTTCCTATAATCAAATGGGTCTGTTGCACGCATGCAAGATACAGCCAACTGAATATACTTTGTAAAGGCCTAGATACACACAGCGATTAATCGCCGCGAGTGAAAGACGAAATCCAATATTGCCGTGCTAAGGGAAAACGTCGTATGAACCTTCAGGCGTTGCCAAATTTTCTTTAGTAAATCTCGAATTTTCAAAAAAATTTGTAAATATTTTTCCTCCAATTTTACAGATAATGGAGATGTTGCGTGTGTGGGGGATTTGCGACTCGACTATGGATTCTTACGTAAAAGTTCGCGAGAAACACGATGGTGCCACTGGTTTTCTCTGAAATCAACTCCCAAGCTCAAAAAAAGCTCTCAAAGTGAGGCAAAAATGGAGGGGATATCCCACCCTACCCTGAGAGTCCACATCTACATCAAAACAAACTCTCCATGCAAAGATACGGAGCAAATACATTAGCAGGGTTGCCACTGTATTTGGGGACTCCAAAACTGAAAACACGGCAACCCTGCTAATGTATTTGCTCCGTATCTTTGCATGGAGAGTTTGTTTTGATGTAGATGTGGACTCTCAGGGTAGGGTGGGATATCCCCTCCATTTTGGCCTCACTTTGAGAGCTTTTTTGAGCTTGGGAGATGATTTCAGAGAAAACCAGTGGCACCATCGTGTCTCTTGCGAACTTTTACATAAGGATCAATGGTCAAATCGCAAATCCCTCACACATGCAACGTCTCCATTATGCAGCACAATCCGACAACGGTGCCTCGCTGCACTATGCGATTGGCGTTCCTGAATATTAATTCGTGCATAATTTTCGCCGCATACATATTCCCCCACCCAGGGAGATCATGCTACCCCGCCCTCGGCCCAACTTCAAACGAATCCAATCCTCTCGCTCAAAGGGATCCACCAAGGGAGGGGGGGCTCTCACGTCCCGGGGGTTTCTATCGATGAATGGCGC